CRTTRCKKCRTTAAGTGGAAAGGGAGTGATTTTTTTCCCTTCCAGCGTGGGTTCGTCACTGCCTCAAACACTGTTTCACATGCCTACAATCTTATTCCTGCCAAAACTCGTTACAGCTCTTAGCCAGACTCGTTTTACAACCTTGTTGCCACCCTGCAAATTCCAGAAAAGATCACCTTTGTGTCCTTACAGTAACATTTGCCACAACTGCATGATCCCTGACCACTGCACACGCCGCTATCGTCACTATCAGTGGTGAAATATATCAAGGAAGAGTCAGTGCATGTAAAGAGCTAAAGAGTCTTTATCAAATCTATGTGTGATAAAGACTGGCAAATCGTAAAATCCTCATGGCTTTTCTTTAGGATTCAGTAACGTAGAAAAGAACCACTATGAAAATCTCCCGGTGAAAAGTTTTCTGACTTTATCATTTGATGATCCCAAGAAATACTTCGAAAGTTAGATTCTTTATCAGTTTTTTTCTCTGTATCGAAAACTGCAATCTTATTGGTCTTTAGAGCGGTCCAGATTTTCCTATCTCTGCCTACGAACATTCGTAGAGTCGCCGACTACATCCCCGCCTTCGTTGCCTTTTTTATCAATATATTTCGTTTCGTCGACTGGGCAGTACTTTCAAGCAAAGACATCGGTCACGACCTCAAGCCGATAAACAAGTTATTATTATCTTGAAGTGTGAGACTACCAGTAGAGTAGAAAAAGGGATGAATTTTGAAAGAGTTTATACATAGGTGAAATGACAATGTGAAAATATCGGCTTCAAGAAGAAAACTGCCTTAACCAACTCTCTGAATTTTTCTCGCGTGTTTTTTATACAAGGGCTTCACTCAGGGGCGTTACCTAGACTTTTTCCAGTTAAAATTTCCTTTTGGAAAACCATCTAAGAAAGCGTTAACAAACAAAAGATAAATCAGTGACAGAAATATTTTCCATGCAGCATGTAACTTATCTTTCTGAACTTGGATGACATTATCGTGACTACATCTACTATCAAAATTATCATTTAAGAGTAAATTTGCTACCTTTGGCAATTTTTTCGCTCCTCTTCCTTTGTGCACGAACAGTATTCACCTGCCCTGAAAACAAAACTTTGATTAGGAACTAAGAGAAATAGACCGAGATGATATTATAAACATTGTACATTCCAATTTTCGGTGATTTCCTGGATTTGAGGGACAAAGACTGCCCTTTACGTAACAAAATGAAAAGCCACTCCAATTTTCTATGGCTTCCTTTTGATCGCTCAATATCAACACTCAGAGTCACTGTGTCAAAATGTGAGGGTACGATCCACGGTAATGCTTTTGTAGTGATTATTAAATCAAATTTGCCACCTGAGTACTTGGTATCACAAAGATGGCACTTTCAATCCTGCATAACAATAATTTTCATCTTGCCTGAGGTGATGCATGCACAAGGTCTGCCAAACGTGAAATTTTCTAATAAACTCACCATCCATCCTGACAGAAACACATTCCACACTTTAAGGATCCTCTGTGATTGCAAATTGTGCTATTAGGTTCCTGAGAGAAAGTGTTTTTATGGTGCGTTAATGGCGATTGAAGGAAATCTCTTCTTATTAGCTGCATTACTCGGATCTGTACATTAACGACATAAATCCACTCGAAATTCTATATACAACTGTGGAGAAAAAAGCATTAAAGCAGGAGACGTCACTCTTTGAAGGTAGGCCCCTTTAAATTAGTTGCTACACTACTGATGTCACTTGCACCTCGACTTAGGCCTTAATGCTTAATAATTGGAAGACAAACAAATTCTATTTCATGCACAATGAGTGAATTAAGTGCTAGACTATTTCTAATTGAGCTAGTGTTTAAAAGTCTCTCAAAACTTGATTTTGGTTTTACCAGATTTTCTTCTGCTTCACAGTCACAACTGCAGACATAAGATAGTTTCAAAGAAACTTGTCCGTAAGGAGTTTTGATGGAAAAGCTGCAAAGAAGAAACTTGGTTGAATTAAATGTACAGAGAGAGTTTTTTTGTTGTTGGAATAAACAAAATTAGTGATAAACGTAGGACTAATTTAATAAATAATAACGAATAAATTTGCGAATGAAAGAGGAAAAGACACTTACTTTGTGGGTAAGTCATCTGTGCAGTTGGCCATTGATACTGTCACCTTAAAAGATACCTGTAAAAGATGAGGAGAATTTCCTTTTATTTCAAGTAAAGAATTCTTGGTTTAATGACAAGCTGTTAAGTTTGAAAAGTCCATCAAATTAGATTATTTTAAAATCAACCGTAATATCATAAGATGTACTGACTGACTAACACATTCAATGACTCACTCAATCTAGCTTGACGTATGCATCTTTACATAATAAGAGAATGCAGATGAGGAGTAAGGCAAAAGAACAGGTTCATTTACCGTATCTCCCAATTCAACACCTGTACAAGTTCTCGTGTCTTCGTAAATTTCACCCTTGCTAGAAAAAGGAATAAAAAATAAGGGTGAAAAGATTAAAGCTTCTTACAAAGTCAGCTTTTTTTAGGTTAAAGGCAAGTCAGTCTTAAGAAACCAGGAGTTGGTTTTGACTTTTTATTTTACATATGATGCACGATCCTCGCAGTAGAGAGCGCTATTTGTGCAATAGCGAAAATCAGACCTGAAAAAAATCAGGCCTGTACGGGATTCGAACCACTGACCTCTGCGATACTAGTGCAGCGCTCAACCAATTGAGCTAACAAGCCAACTGGGAGCAGGCCGTTAAGTTGATTCGTAATAAACCCGTGATGATAAATCAG